CCCAACGCACAATCACCGGAGACCTGGCCACACTCCACCCAACCCACAATCACCGGAGACCTGGCAACACTCCACCCATCGCTCAATCACCGGAGACCTGGCCACACTCCACCCAACCCACAATCACCGGAGACCTGGCAACACTCCACCCAATGCACAAATAACCGGAGACCTGGCAACACTCCACCCAACACACAATCACCAGAGACCTGGCCACACTCCACCCAACCCACAATCACCGGAGACCTGGCAACACTCCACCCAACGCACAATCACTGGAGACCTGGCAACACTCCACCCAACCCACAATCACTGGAGACCTGGCAACACTCCACCCAATGCACAGTCACCGGAGACCTGGCAACACTCCACCCAACGCACAGTCACCGGAGACATGGCAACATTCCACCCAACCCACAGTCACCGGAGACCTGGCAACATTCCACCCAACCCACAGTCACCGGAGACCTGGCAACATTCCACCCACCGCACAATCACCGGAGACCTGGGGACACTCTGGGCTCTCACTTTGGAGGAATTTCTTCTCACTTCCTGTGGTGGCTTTAGAACAGGAAGTGAATGGGGAGACAGGTGCAAAAAAAAAAACTGACGGAGCTTATAATCCAAAATTTAAAAAAAAAATGCCTTTTAGTACCAAAATTGATTTTTTTGTATTCTGTTCCTGGCACCACTGCCGGGCAATGCAGATGGGTCAGCGACTTTCTCCACTGCAGCCAAGTAAAGTAAAGCTTTGTCAGGAACAACCCGCCAGACCACCAATTGGACATTAAAGTCACAGTGGTCTAGCTGTAGTTAGCACTGCTGCCTTGCCGCACTGGGGCCCCCAGTCTAAGTCCCCCCCAGGGCACTATCTGCATGGACTTTGCATGTTCTCCCCACGCTGTGTGGGTTTCCTCTTAACTTCCTGTTTCAGTGACAACTGTACCATTTTGAATTTCCAACGCTTCTATCCCAGAGGCACATCTGGACCTCTGAAACTTCCAGAGCATCACAGCACATAACGGACCAATCAGAACCGCCGTGCAGCTGTACTAAGTCACTTTTCGCGGTCACTTTATTTTTCTGCAGATGTAATGTGAATGAGCCCCAAGTTATGGGAATATAACTATTTTCTGCTGTGTTGCAGGCTGGCTCAGAGGCAGTGCTGCCTATCCTACATCAAGGAGAACACCTGCATCGCCGGGATGATCGCCGCCAAGGAAGGTGGTATCTGCTTAGCCATGGAGAACGACCTTTGTGAGCGATCGCACTTTAAGGTGAGATTTCTGCCAAACTCCCTATATCAAATGCAACATATCAATGAGCCCAGCTGAGAGCGCCACCTGCCGGTGAATTGTGATGCTGCAGGATTTAGGATTCCCACTGTCTAAGAGGGCTCATTCAGACGGGTGGCTGGGGAAAGCGGGTAAATCAGGCGGTTGAGATGTGGTTTTACCAGGGGCGGACTGACAACTCATGGGGCCCCCAGGCAATATGGGATCATGGGGCCCGTGTCCTCGCCAACACTCAAACCACACCCAAAAAAGCCTATGAAAGGTACCAGGGGCATCTCACGGGGCCCCCTATCGACCCCAGGCCCTCAGGCAGTGCCCGAGTACCCAAATGGTCAGTTTTTACCATCGTCCCCGCTGCCCAGCGGACAGGGTTGTACACACGGCACTTTAACTCAGGTGCAGAATTTGAAAGGCGGCAGGCTCACCCAAGAAAATATATACACACTCTATGGCCAATTGTTTGCGTACCACTGACCATCACTCTTCTATGTGTTTGTTTGGCCTCAAATTCCAAAACCATGGCCAGCCACTAATATGGAGTAGCCCTCCTTTGTGCCTTTAACACCCTCCACTCTTCTTTGAAGGTTTTCCACAAGAATTTAGGAGAGTGTCTGTGGGAATGCTTACCTATTTGTGAGGTCAGGTACCGTTGGGCGGAAGACCTGGCTCGTATGTTGGGTCTCATGTTGGGCACCAAAAAAAGACCTGGTTTACAATCTGCAATCTACAATTTCATCCCAGAGGTGTTCATTAAGTTGAGGTCAGAGCTCTGGGTTTGTTGGACATCTCTACTGTACCATGGCCATTAATATGTAGTTGCCCCCCTCTGTGACTATAACATCCTTGCTTCTAGGAAGGTTTTCTACAAGATTTTGGAGGGTGTCTGTGGGAATTTGTGCCCATTTGTGAGGTCAAGTACTGATGTTAGATGAGAAGACCTGGCTCACCATCGGTGTTGCAATTCATCCCAAAGGTGTTCAGTAGGGTTGAGGTCAGGGCTCTGTGCAGGACACTCGAGTTCCTCCACACCAAACTGGTCAGACCATGTCTTTATGGAACTGGCTTTACTCTTCTGGAAAGGCTTATCACAAAATTTTGGAGTATGTCTGTGGGAATTTGTATCCAATCAGCTAAAGGAACATTTGGAAGGTCAGGTACTGATGTTGGATGAGAAGACCTGGCTCACCATCAGAATTCCCTCAAAATGTGTTCAGTAGGGTTGAGGTTAGGGCTCTGTACAGGACATACAAGTTCATTCACATCAAACTCTAGTAGATTTAGACCTCCGTGAGGTGAGCCCTACAGCATATATGTAATTCTAATATACATTTTGTATTTTAATCCTGAAGGTGTTCAGTAGGGTTGAGGTCAGGGTTCTGTACACAACACTCAAGTTCCCCCACAATGGTCAAACCATGACTTTATGGAGCTGGCTTTGTAGACACCTGACCATCACACCTCTATGAGCTTGTAGGACATCCCATTCCAAAACAATAGCAGCTAATGTGAAGTTGCCCCCACCATGACCATTAATTTGGTGTTGGACCCATTTTGTGACTATAACATCCTCCACTCTTCTAGGGAGACTTTCCACAAAACTTTGAAGGGTGTTTGTGGGATTTTGTGGCCATTTGTGAGGTCAGGTACTGATGTTGGGTGAGAAGACCTGGCTCACTATCAACGTTCCAATTCATCCAAGTGGTGTTCAGAAGAGTTGAGGTTAGGGCTCTGGAAAGGAAACTGGTGCTAGTCCACACCAAACCAGTCAAACCATGTCTTTATGTAGCTGGCTTTTTGTGGACACCTGATTATCACACCTCTATGAGCTTGTATGGCATCCCAATCCAAAACCAAGGCCACTAATATGGATTTGCCCTAATATGTGGCTATAACATCCTCCACTCTTCTGGGAAAACTTTCCACAAGGTTTTGGAGGGTGTCTGTTGGAAGTTGTGACCATCTGTGAGGTCAGGTACTGATGTTGGATGGAAAAAAACAGGCTCACATGTTGGGCACCCAAAAAAAAGACTTGACTCCCAGTTGGTGTTCCAGATTATCCCAAAGGCATTCTGTAGGGTTAAGGTCAGGCTCTGTACAGGACACTCAAGTTCTTTCACCCATCACACCTATATGGAGTTGCCCCTTTGTGGCTATACCATCCTCCACTCTTCTGAGAAGGCTTTCCACAAGATTTTGGAGGGTGTATGTGAGAATTTGTCCCCTTTTGTGAGGTCAGGCACTGATGTTGGATAATAAAACCTAACTCACTATTGGCATTCCAATTCATCCCAAAGGTGTTCAGTAGGGTTGAAGTCAGGGCTCTGTGCAGGATACTCGAGTTCCTCCACACAAAACAGATGAAACCATGTCTTTATGGAGCTGGCTTTGTACACAGGGACAGTCAGGGTTGTCCTAATGCATGGTCACCCCTGGGCAATGCCCAGGGGCCCCAAGTGCAGGGGGACCCATAATAATCTTGCATTGCATCATACTTGCCAGCTGTCTCGGATTTGCTGGGACAGTCACGCTTCTTACTAAGCTGTCCCAGGATGGCTCTAGCAGCATCCCAGAACCTGTACTATGCCCTCCTGACTCCCCATGTACTGTGCCATTCTGAACATCTGAGCTCCATTGGAGGGGTGTTCACACCCTTAGGGCCATATAGACTATCAGTTTGGAGTGGGATGACCCCTTTACCATTACTGGAAGAGTTCTTTAGTCATGATCCTCCAAGAACCAGACTGTTGTTGGATGAGAAGGCCTGGATCACAATCTGTATTTATTAGGGTTGAGGTCAGGGCTCTGTGCAGGACATTTGAGTTCCTCCATGACCTCAAACCTATTGAAACCTTTGGCATCCCAAAGATGTTCTATAGGCTTAACGGCAGGTGCTGATGTTGGATGAGAAGACCTTATACCAAAAGTCTTCCAAAAATAGAGGTCAGAGCTCTGTGCTGGACACTCGAGTTCCTCCACACCAAACTGGTCATCCATGTCTTTGTGGATCTGGCTTTGTACACGGGGGACAGTCATGGTGGAATAGAAAAGGGTCTTCACCAAACTGTCACCAGAAGGTTGGAAGAGCACAATTGTGTCCAGTGTCTTTCTATGATGGAGCATTACCAGGACCCTTCACTGGAGACAGCTGGACTCCATCATTAAAGGGGGGTTCACATACTTTTGGCCATATAGTGAAAATCTATTTATCCTTCCTATTGGTTTACCATTATTGTTGGCTGTTCAGAAAAGTGAAGCATTCCTTCCCACCCGTATTTCTTTCAGGACTCGTCTATCTCCGGCAGTGCTGATCCCCAGCCTCCCGTCCCCCGGACACTCCATTTTTCATGAACGTTGTCAGTTCAAATAAAATATATATACATATATATACACACAGGACCTTCATTTACTGTTGTTGTTGGCTGATATAATATCTTCATGTGAATTCCTTTCTGGATGTTTATTCGGGTCACAGAAGGGTGATGTGTGTGGGAACATATTCTTCTCTGCCCATCCCGGAGAAAAACAAGTTAACCCCTTGTAAGCCCACAATGGGAAAGTTGGCGACATATCGATGATATTCACGCCGTACGTTGGCATTGCAGGGGAGCACGTTGTCACCTGATGTACATTGCTTTTCAGCTGTGCTGCGACTGCTGCTCCCTGGGGCTGAAGATCAGGAAGGAGGGGCATTCCTGCGAGTCCAACATGAACCTGGGCTACCCCTGTAACCACATGATGATCCTGTGCTGTAATGGAGAAGAGCAGCTCATCCCACCGGATATAAAGATCCCAGCAAACCAGAACCAACACCCAAGCCAGACAAGGGTAGGTGGCCCCCAAAGGACCAGTGTTACCGCTGAGGCCTCTGCCTAAAGGCCCCGGGTACTGAGGGGCAGAGAACATATCTGTATAATTGGGGGGGGGGGGGGGAGGGGAACATTTGTATCCAATCTTGGCACTTGCTATAAATAGTAACCTTTCATTTTATAATTGTATTTTATTGGCAGATATTGATGAATGCGCTCTGAACACACACAACTGCGCTAGAAGCGAGCGCTGCGTCAACACGGTCGGATCATTTGTATGTGTGCCGGAGGTGATGTGCCAGTCCGGGTTCCTCCTGGAAGAGGGAGTGTGCCAAGGTAACATTAAGGCCTCAGAATCGGGGGGCATAGTGATGCCAATGTAGACTCTCCAGCCGGTGCAGGAAGAAAGGCCTGGAATGTAGAACGTTTCCCTGGACAAAAATGTAAAAATTTTTATGGATTAGTGATTTTTTTTTCGTTCTATGTCCCTTTTGGGGGGATTTTTCTTCACATCCTGCCCCAGAGACACAACAGGAAGTGAGAGGAATGCTTCCCTACTTGTCACCAGCAGAGGTGTCCCCGCTGGAAGGTTCCCTCTTGCGGTTCAGCCCGGGTCACGTTCTGGACTCCAGATTTCCATCTCGGAAAATGTTTCTCTCTGAATTTTTGTACCTTTTTTTTTTTTACCTTCTCTCTGTCAGATGTTAACGAATGTGCGGCGAGCCCCGCCCCCTGCAAGCCTGGCTTCACTTGCGTCAACACCCTGGGATCGTACGTGTGCCAGAGAAAACACCTCAACTGCAACCGAGGATACCGACCCAACGAGAACGGCACCATGTGCATCGGTGAGGGGGAGATCAGAAACACAAAGGGGGTAGGGGTGGGAGCCTGGGCCGTCTGGGGGTCACTCCCCACATGGAAGAAAAATATATTTTAAATATATTTTTTAAATATTCTTCCAAAATGTATTGACATTGATTTGAAATACTACAATTTCGGCCGTATTCAATATTCTTCAAATATATATATATATATATATATATATGCACTGTATGTTGAAATGCGTTTTTTATATATTACAAAATATATGAAAAATATTTTTCAAAATACATTTTCAAATATACCGTCCGGTGGATTGAGTGACAGTTGGGTGGAAATGGACAAATGGTCCGTTTCCATCCAACTGCCCTATAGAGGACAAGCGGGCCATGTCTGTATCCACTCTGCAGAAGCGGAGCGGACAAAGACCTGTCATCCGCCTGCTCAGCAGGGATCAGTGGAGAGATCCCCCGCTGAGCAGGCAGATCCGCTGACGGGTCCACCCCGTCTGATAGGAGCCTAACATTCTAATAAGGGCAAAGAGAGCATTTGTCCACAGTGTGAAAGGACAGGGTAGGAGGCAAAGAAAGATTTATACATTCCCTTTTTTATGTATTCCGCACATTTCCTAAAAAATTGGAAAAAAAAAATCAGGAAAATACCACATTATGGCCATTAGGTGGAGCTGATGATTACAGGCAATAAATACCTATGTTCTGTGATCGTCGGCTCCATCTAGTGGCCATATTATGGTATTTTCCAGATTCACTCTATTCTTATGTATGAATAACAATCAACCTGCAGAGGAAAGAGCTGAATAACATTTGATTTTGCCTCTATTCGCACAGAATGAATGTACTTGCAGTTTTGCAGGATGGAAACAGGTAGCTCCAGATTCTTTATAAATATCCCCCTCAGCATTCATCATCTTCCTTGTTGCAGATTTTGACGAGTGCAGCGCTGGGATCCACAACTGCTCCTCCGAACAGACCTGCACCAATGTACCCGGATCATATCGCTGTAACTGTAAGGCCGGCTATCGCTACGACACATTCAGGAGGGCGTGTATCGGTAAGATCGGATCACTCACACAGAACTCCCATCATCTGATTGATGTCAGATAGGAATGAATATATTTATTAATAATCAATAAGTATCACCGTGTTGGCTCAGTGGGTTAGTTATTAGTGGTGTGACATATCGGAGGCGGAGTCAAGAGTTTCTGTCCCCATCTAGAACAATGTCTGCATGGAGTTTTTATCTTTTTATCCACAATTCAAAAACAGCTGGAAGATGAGCTGAACTTGCTCTGCTTAGCTTGTCCCCAGAGGCTGTTTGAATCTGTGGTGAGGCTAGTGAATTGTGAGCTATTCAAGGGTGAGGAACAACATTGTGAGCTCCTCAGGGGTAAGAAGCAACATTGTGAGCTCCTCAGGGGTGAGAAACAAAATGTTCAGCTCCTCAGGGGGTGAGGAACAACTTGATCAGCTCCTCAGGGGTGAGGAAAAACATTGTCAACCCCTTGGGGGTGAGGAACAACATTGTCAGCTTCTCAGGGGTGAGGAACAACATTGTCAGTTCCTCAGGGGTGAGGAACAACATTGTCAGCTCCTTAGGGGTGAGGAACAACATCATCACCTCCCCTAGGGTGAGGAACATCATTGTCAGCTCCTCAGGGGTGAGGAACAACATTGTCAGCTCCTCAGGGGTGAGGAACAACATTGTCAGCTCCTCGGGGATGAGGAATAACATCATCAGCTCCTCGGGGGTGAGGAACAACATCGTCAGCTCCCCTAGGGTGAGGAAAAACATTGTCACCCCCTCAGGGGTGAGGAACATCACTGTCAGCTCCTCAGGGGTCAGGAACAACAATGTCAGTTCCTCAGCACTGAGGAACAACTTCATCACCCCTTTGGGAGTGAGAAACAACACTGTCACCCCCTCAAAGGTGAGGAACAACATTGTCAGCATCTCAGGGGTGAGGAACAACTTTTCCAGCTCCTCAGGGGTGAGAAATATCATTGTCAGCTCCTCAGGGGTGAGGAACAACAATGTAAAATCCTCGGTGGTGAGGAACAACACTGTCAGCTCCTCAGAGATGAGAAACAGCATTGTCAGCTCCTCAGGGGTGGGTCTCTTGTACTTTGGATGAAGCTGGTTCTGGTAGATTTCAGGTACCTGATCCTGCAGGTGAGGTATAGTAAACCTTCGGTGATAATTTCATTATCCTATCCCTATTTTATTCTATTTTGTAGATATAAATGAATGCTGGACCTACCCGGGGCGCCTGTGTCACCACACCTGTGAGAACACGGTGGGCTCTTATCGCTGTTCTTGTTTTGCGGGATTCCGCTTGTCCCAGGACGGGCGACACTGTGAAGGTAATGGCGTCCATCGGCCGCTCTTCCCTGCTCATGGATGACACAATGTACATACCGGATGACATGTCAGTGCTATCATGTTATCATCACAGGCCCCTCCTTCCATGCATGTCATAGCCCTCTCCACATCTGGGCGTGTCTAGTTACTGTCTGTGCTGGCCCAGCCATCTTTCACAAATGCTTCTGACATTCGGCCAACAAATGTTTGATATTTATACCCCTGAAAGATGTCTGCATTGGATTCAGTATAATTTCTAGGTAAAGTTCAGCTTTAATCCTCATTTTTTACCCCCCCCCCCCAAATGCTTCCCCTACAGATGTGAATGAGTGTGATCAGAACCCGTGCAACCAGGAGTGCACCAACATCTACGGCTCGTACCAGTGTTACTGCAAGGAGGGCTACAAGCTGGGCGACGACGGCGTCTCCTGTGAAGGTAACAACCAATCCGATCCATTTCCTGCCAGAAAACGGGCAGAACGTGGAGCCCCTTTGTAACTGTTCCTTCTCCAATTCCAGATATAGACGAGTGTCAGCAGAGCATCGGCACCCTGTGCGTCTTCGCCTGCGTCAACACGCCGGGGAGCTACCAGTGTGCCTGCCCCGAGAACGGCTACACCATGACAGCCAATGGGCTGTCCTGCAAAGGTATCTTCTTCAGTCTGTCCGAACACTTGCTGACTTGGCACCATCCACAGACAGCTTAACTCTTCAATAAGGCACAGAAGTTCAATCCAGCACAATTTTACTTCAGCCAATTGCACTACAGAGGATGATTTTCCAGTCGTTCGAACTGTAAGAAGACTATGACTTTCCTAAGCCCTGTCTCTGTGAACTACTAAAACTGACTGAGGGAACATGGAAGAAGTTGGTAGGGTCTAGCTTGGGCTGAACTAGGAGGGAAGGACAAAGGAAGATACCAAACCACATAGTAAACAAGTGGCCCAAAACCACCAACAGATTTAAGCATACTCTAAAACATGAAAACCTAATGCAGTACAATAAAACACAGAAAAAAATACATTTAAGTAGGGAAGAACCCCAAAGGAACATCTTCATGTATGTTGTGTCTAATGCAGATCTGTGTGTGGGCAAATATCTCAGAGAGAAGTGAAGTCTGATTTTGGATTTTTGTAGCTTGTTAAAATCCCCATGTCGCCCAGTGGTTTCAGGAGTGTCCAGAAGACAGAGGGGTGCGCTTTCTCTGCTAGGAAGTATTGGACGGGAGAGCAACAATGAGGCCCTCAGAAGCTCCTGGATATTAATGGGTTCTCACACCTTCATAATGGTGACCTGCACCCAAATAACGCACTGATCCACTGACGGCCACAGACAGGTTTCAGTACCTTCTATCTTTTTTTCGCAATTTATTGGCTCAGTTGTCTTGGAGTGCAGGATACCCCAAAAAACACAAAAACATCCCCTTACGCTCAGTAGTACTTGGTAATATCTCGTAACATCTGCCATAGGTCAGGTTAGAACTCTCTATGCCTCTGCCACAGGCTAATGTAGATTCTGTAGGCCCAGATGAGCAGCGACCTAAGTGTTTTGAACCTCTACCACAGATCTGGTTAGGACTCTTCAGGCCTCTGCCACAGGCCACTTAGGACATTCTGGAGCCAGATGAGCAGCTAGGAGAACAACACTCTTCTCTTGGCTCTGGCTTTCTTCTGCAGACAAGGGCTTGGCAGGCAAGACTGGACCTCTAAGTAGCTACACCCTCCTCGGGCAGTAGCCTGGGTGGAAGGAACTGGACACGCTAAACTCACATCCTCACCAGGCAGAACATGGTAGGGAAGTGCGCTCCATCCCTACATCTTCTCCAGGCAAGACTGTGAGGGAAGAACGTTCCATCACTACATCTTAACTAGGTAAAGCTTGGGTGAGAAAAACCTTCCACCACTACATCCTCTCCAGACAAAGCCTGGGAGGCAGGGCCTTCTACTACTACATCCTCACCAGGCAAAGCATGGTAGGCAAGCACATTCCACCACTACATTTTCTCCATGCCAATCCCGGGAGCGAAAGAACCTTCCAGCACTACATCCTTTCCAGTTAAAGCCTGGGAGGGAAGAGCGTTCCACTACTACATACACTCCAAACAAAGCCAGGGAGGGAGGGCCTTCTACTACCATATCCTCACCAGGCAAAGCATGGTAGGCAAGGACGTTCCATCACTACGTCTTCTCCAGGCCAATCCTGGGAGGGAAGGAGCCTTCCATCACTACATCCTCTCCAGGCAAAGCCTGGGTAAGAAGGACCTAACAGCACTACATCCTCTTCAGACAAAGCCTGGGAGGGAGGGCCTTCTACTACTAAATCCTCACCAGGCAAAGCACGGTAGGCAAGGACGTTCCACCACTACATCTTCTCCAGGCAAGGCCTGAGAGGGAAAGAACCTTCCATCACTACATCCTCTCCAGGCAAAGCCTGGGTAAGAAGGACCTAACAGCACTACATCCTCTTCAGACAAAGCCTGGGAGGCAAAGACCTTCTAGAGCTACATCCTCTCTTGGCAAAGCCTGGGAGGGAAGAACATTCCACCACAATATCCTTTCCACTCAAAGCTTGGGACTGAAGGACGTTCCACCACCACATCCTCTGCAGACAAAGCCTGGGAGGCAGGGCCTTCTACTACTACATCCTCACCAGGCACAGCATGGTAGGCAAGCACATTCCACCACAATATTTTCTACAGGCCAATCCCGGGAGGGAAAGAACTTTCCAGCACTACATCCTTTCCAGTTAAAGCCTGGGAGGGAAGAGCGTTCCACTACTACATAGTTCCAGACAAAGCCTGGGAGGGAGGGCCTTCTACTACCACATCCTCACCAGGCAAAGCATGGTAGGCAAGCACATTCCACCACTACATCTTCTCCAGGTCAATCCCAGGAGGGAAAGAACCTTCCAGCACTACATCCTTTCCAGTTAAAGCCTGGGTAAGAAGGACCTAACAGCACTACATCCTCTTCAGACAAAGCCTGGGAGGCAGGGCCTTCTACTACTACATCCTCTCCAGATCAAGGCAGTGCCCCCCCAAGTGTGCTTTGCTTAATATGGCAGCATCTCTTGGTGGAGACTGGTGATGCTCTTCTCTAAATTAGCCTTTTTCTCTCCTCAGATATCGATGAATGTGAAATCGGGACCCACAACTGCTCAGCGTCGGAGGAGTGCTTCAATATTCTGGGGAGTTACAAGTGTCTGTCCTTCGAATGTCCAGAAAACTACAGAAGAGTCTCGAACATGTAAGTCTGAATGGTGCAAGGTCTACCTCGTTGTACCATCCATGTCCACACCTATTAAATCAGAAGGCATTGGTCCATTGACACCTATCAGGGCGTGGCCATGGGGAGGGCAGAACAGGCGACTGCCTTGGGTGCTTCAGCAGGAGGGGAGCACCACCAGGGTCTTCCCTCCTTTGAAGCATGTTGAATTTTTGAAAGACTCCATTGAAGACTGAATGCAGGTTCCTGCCAAAGCTGGAGTGTTTTCACCTTTGCATTCTCTAAAATAAATGTGCAAATCTAGCAGCAATGGTGGGAAACCCCTCATCAGCACAATGGTGGGCATGATAGGCGCAGTCGGGTACAGAGCCGGGAACTCAGCACAGGGATGGCGGGAGCTCCTCATGATGGGCACAGTGGTGTACAGACCCTGGAACTCAGCACAGTAATGGTGGGAACCCTCATGATGGGCACAGCGGTGTACAGACCGGGAACTCAGCACAGGATGGTGGGGACCCCTCATAATGGCCACAACAGTGGGTTACAGACCAGGAACTCAGCACAAGGATGGTGGAAACCCCTCATAATGGCCACAGCGGGCGTACAGACCTGGGAACTCAGCACAGAGATGGTGGGACCCCTCATAATGGCCACAGTGGAGTTACAGACCTGGGAACTCGGCACATGGATGGTGGGGAACCCCTCATAATGGCCACAGCGGGTGTACAGACCTGGGAACTCAGCACAGGGATGGTGGGATCCCCTCATAATGGGCACAGCGGGTGTACAGACCTGGAAACTCAGCGCAGAGATCTCACTAATAGAGATGGAGAAGACCATTGGGTGTGTTGACCATCCAGTCCACCAGAAGCAGACAACAGTGATGGAGCTCCATCAGTCATTTCTCCGCCATCTTGCTTTCTCTCTCATTGTGGTCGTTTATCGTTTTGCAGGAAATGTGAGCGGATCCAATGCTTCAACTATCAGGACTGTCAGAACACGCCGGTGCGGATCTCCTACCATCGCCTCAATTTCCCCACCGGTGTGGTGGTCCCGGCCCAGATCTTCAGGATTGCCCCTTCGCCAGCCTATGCGGGTGACAACATCATCATGGACATCAAGAAGGGGGACGAGGAGAATTATTTCAGCGTCAGGAAATTCAACCCCTACACAGGAATCCTGAACCTCCAGAGACCCGTCAGGAAGCCCAAAGACTTCCTTCTGGACGTAGAGATGAAGCTGTTCCGGCAGGGGACGGTCACCACCTTCCTGTCCAGAATCTACGTCTTCATCACCGCCAACGCCTCCTAATCCATACGTGGCGCCACCTAGAGATATATCATGTGCCGCGTTATATATGAGGGGCGCTCGGTGATCATACGGACAACCTATGTAGCTCATATACTGGGACATGTGGTGCCTCCGCCTCAGTCTTCAGATGGAGGGCACCAGATTGCTGCAACTAACCTACCTACTCAAAGCAGGGATTTCAAGGGCTACTCCACCCTTACGTAGCTTCCTTCCAGCTAAGTTCCCTCTGGAAACAGTTCCAGCTTAACCCTGACACACCTGCCAGTTCTTTCTGTTCAGTAGTCTGGCCATGTACAGGATAGGAAGTGATGGGGAATTATCCGGTGGGGACACCGACAGAGTTGAAGAAGGGTTCCAACATCAGTCAATATTAATATTGTTCCCGGTGACAACTACTCCGCCCATTTTTCATCCTGGTGTCACAGTGACAGGGACTGCAGGAAGGTCTTCAAAATGGGGTTACTTAAAGATGTTTATGCTCATTGCTGCCCAAAACTGAAATCCTTCCTACGGCCTCCCCTTCAGTTTTGCACAGATGTACCGGCTCCTCCCCTTCAGTCTTGCACAGGTGTACCGGCTCCTCCCCTTCAATCTTGCACAGGTGTACCGGCTCCTCCCCTTCAGTCTTGCACAGGTGTATCGGCTCCTCCCCTTCAATCTTGCACAGGTGTACCGGCTCCTCCCCTTCAGTCTTGCACAGGTGTACCGGCCCCTCCCGTTCAATCTTGCACAGGTCACAATGTGCATTAGAAGGTGCAGCCAGTCAGATAGAGCTCCCGCCCCATTTCCTGGCTGGAGGACAGCCAGCATCATCTAGCCCTGTTGTGTTGTTCTCATCGTCTTGGATGTGCATCCTCAAATGTTTAATATGTAACCTTCATTATACTCTTTGTACAGCGAGTTTCCTCCATACCAGTCAGACGACCACACAGCTCCAGCCAAAATATACAGCAGACCCCCCAGGAGGAGAAATGTACAGAACAGCCACCAAGTAACTCAAATTATATCATCAAAACCCGACTGACATCACAAATAGGTATTCAGACAGACAGTTGGCCCAACAACCTCCATTATTATAGTCTCACCTCCAGTTTCCTGTCTGCCTATCACTCCACCGTCCAATAGCAACAGAGTGAGACCCAGCGCACTCCGTGATCAGCACTCAGTAACACAACTGGTCAGACACACCCCCTCAATGCTCAGACACATCCTCTTAATGCTCAGACAGACACCCCCCTCAATGATCAGACACACCCCCTTAATGCTCAGACACACCCCCTCAATGATCAGACACACCCCCTCAATGATCAGACACACCCCCTCAATCATCAGACACCCCCTCAATCATCAGACACACACACCCCCTTAATGCTCAGACACCCCCCTCAATGATCAGACACCCCCCCTCAATGATCAGACACACACCCTTAATGATCAGACACCCCCCTCAATGATCAGACACACCCCTCAATGATCAGACACCCCCCCCTCAATGATCAGACACACCCCTCAATGATCAGACACACCCCCTCAATGATCAGACACCCCCCTCAATGATCAGACACACACCCCCTCAATGCTCAGACACCCCCCTCAATGATCAGACACCCCCTCAATGATCAGACACCCCCCTCAATGATCAGACACCCCCCTCCCCCTCAATCATCAGACACACCCCCTTAATGCTCAGACACCCCCCTCAATGATCAGACACACACCCTTAATGATCAGACACACACCCTTACCGATCAGATAAACCCCCTCTCTGGATGAGACACACCCCCTCAATTCTCAGACACACACCCTTAATGATCAGACACCCCCCCTCAATGGTCCCCCTCAATGGTCAGACACCCCCCCTCAATGATTAGACACGCCCCCCCTCTCTGGATCAGTGCCGCACCAGGAATTTATTCTCCAAGTATATAATTATTCCAATATGGATTAGAATCAATGATGGTACCAACGTGTTCCGGCATCCTCACATTCCCTTTCATCAGAGCAATCAATGGTCAGACACACCCCTCCCTGGGCAGACACAGCCCCTCTCTAACTGGACACACCCCTTCAATGGTCAGCCATGGCCCCTCTCTGGACACACCCCTGCAATGGTCAGTCACACCCCCTTAATGATCAAACATGGCCCCTCTCTGGTCAAACACCTCCCGACTCTTCCTATGCAATATAAGCCTGTGTGATGAGAGGTGTGGCTATAATGAGGGGTGTGGCTATAATGAGGGGTGTGGCTGCTACTCAGCTCTGCCAGCACCGAGAACTGGAGGGGGAGAACAGAAATCAGCATTTTCACTAAGGAAAAAAGGGATTTGAAGGCATTTCCCGTCCCAAATGATAACACAACAGGGAACTGGGCTTTATAGGAAGAAGGTGGGGGGGGGGGAGGTGGGGGGGGGGGGGGGGGGGGGTTGTAGAGGGTTCATTCTCATTAGATGCTTCTTGTGGGGAAATAAAATTACTAATGAGCCCCTTTTCCTGGAAAAGTCTGAACACGATAAATACGAGTATCGCTCCTTATATCTGGGAGATTCGTGGTTAAAGGAGAACCCCGATGATCCTTATCTCTGTGTAACTCAGCCAATGGCAGAGGCACCATGCCGCTCCTAATGTCCTCTTTTTGTCGTCCACACATGCAGAAATGTTGGCGGTCGCTCCCCTCCTCGGCATATCATCGCTGAGCGTGTCCAAAAATGGATCCCAAAAAACCGTTCAGGATGCGATGTGTGTAGATTGGTTGCATTGTGTCATTTAGGCAGCTCTGTCCGTATCCTGCTCCCTCCCGCGTGTCACCACCTCCGTGGAACGTCTTATTTATTCTAATTTATGTCCATGAATGTAACACTGTAACCAATAATAAAAGTAATAAAGGAGCGCGTTCCATCAGTCTGGGAGGAGATGTGGCTGAGCCACAGACACACAGATCAGCTGTACCAGGCAGTACGGGTCATGTGATAACAGCGCCCAAGGCAAGACTGCTCCGCCCACTATGTGTCGACAACCAGCGTATTATTTAGTAGAATGACATTATGATTTGTTAGACACCAAATATGATATAGATCTTATGTACTCTACATTGCCCAAAGTATTGGCCCCGCCCTCCAAATCATGTGATTCAGGTATTCCAATCTCCCTCCCAATCATGTGATTCAGGTGTTCCAATTCCCTCCCAATCATGTGATTCAGGTGTTCCAATCCCCTCCCCAATCATGTGATTCAGGTGTTCCAATCCCCTCCATATCATGTGATTCAAGTGTCCCAATCTCCTCCATATCATGTGATTCAGGTGTTCCAATCCCCTCCAAATCGTGATTCAGGTGTTCCAATCCCCTACCAATCATGTGATTCAGGTGTTCCAATCCCCTCCCAATCGTGATTCAGGTGCTCCAATCCCCTCCCAATCATGTGATTCAGGTGTTCCAATCCATCCATATCATGTGATTCAGTTGTTCCAATCCCCTCCATATCATGTGATTCAGGTGTTCCAATCCCCTCCATATCATGTGATTCAGGTGTTCCAATCCCCTCCATATCATGTGATTCAGGTGTTCCAATCCCCTCTCAATCATGTGATTCAAGTGTTCCAATCCCCTCCCAATCATGTGATTCAGGTGTTCCAATCCCCTCCATATCATGTGATTCAGGTGTTCCAATCCCCTCCATGGACACAGGTGTATACAATCAAGCCCCTAGGCATGCAGACTGCTTCTACAAACATTGGTGAAAGAATGGGTCGCTCTCAGGAGCTCAGTGACTCCAAGCGTGGTCCCGTGATAGGTGGCCACCTGGGCAATAAGTCCATCCGTGACATTTCCTGGCTACTAAATATTCCACGCTCAACTGTTAGTGGGATTATAACAAAGTGGAAGCAACTGGGAACAACAGCCACTCAGCCACCAAGTGGTAGGCCACGTCACATGACAGGGCGGGGTCAGCGCATGCTGAAGCGCACAGTGCGCAGAAGTCGCCAACTGTCTGCAGAGTCAATAGCTAAAGACCTCCAAAAGACTGGGAGGCCAATAAAGGCCATGTGTGTACTTGTATACTTGGGGCAATATAGTGTAGATCTCTCAGGAGATCCAATGTCTATTATTAACTATCTAGACCTTGTATTATGGGCGTGTTTGGTGTCTACTGAGTGGTGTCATAGTGTACATTTGTTACGAAGGTAACTCCATGACAGCGGGAATTATGGATTATAGATTATGGATTATTATAGGGGGTATAGAGTAATTCTGTTTTAGGTACAAAATCGACTCGAAGATGGGTGTTTACTCCTCACCTGCTGTCTTAGGCTGTTTAGGATGGGGGGGGCCCCATCAGGAATTATTTGAAGACCGTGCTAGGGAGGTTAGCCGGCCTGTGTGTCATAAAGCGGACCTTCACTTAAAGGAGAAAGCACTGCTACTCTGCCTCTCCCCACCCCCCGGTCCATGCTGCATTTACCTTTGTGGGTGATTAGCTGCCACTGCCCAAACAGCCAGCAGGGCAGCCCAGGGATATGAGAACCCCCTTCTTCTACCTCTTCCTTCCCTACGGCTTCTTGAATGGATCAGAACGATTCACATGACTACTTTGACCAATCGGAAACTCTCTGATCTGTCCTGGAAGCCCTAAGGAAAGAAGTGAAAGGAAAGCGGGGTCTTCAGATCCCCGCACTGGGGGCGGGGGGGGGGGGGTGGAGAGGGTATTGGGTATTAGTCCACCTTTTCATGATTTGTAGAAATAGGTGAACCTTCACTTAAAGGAATGTTCGTAATGCTCGCTGCCACATCCAGACAGGAATGTATACACTACAGCAGCTCTTCAAACGAGATGAAGTCCTTCCATTCCTGTTTATTCACAGATGAAAGATTTGTAACTATGGTGTAACCCGGGGGTCTCCAAATGTTCTCTCCAAACTATGGTCCTCCAGCTGTTGAAGTACTACAAGTCCCATCATGCCTCTTCCTCTGGGAGTCTTGCCTGTGGCTGTCAGAGTCTTGCAAGACCTCATGGGACTTGCAGTTCCTCAACAACTGGAGGGCCATAGTTAGGAGACCCCTTGGCCACCCTCATAACACATATGTCCATGAGCAGAAGAGCTTTCTGTGCTACGAGCGCGCTCACTGCACACACCCCCCCCCCCCCCCCAGCACAGTGACCGAGCTGCCGGTCTCTGCTGATGATCAGCACCAGCTCCAAACCAGTCTGACAGCCAATGACGGCGGTCAACGTGATCGATTGATCCTTTTCACACCCTGTGAAATGGAAGCCGGGGCTGGGCAGGAAGGGGTTCCTGAAAAGAAAAATGATGCCGTAAATATTTACAGAAAATACATTACAAAACAGTGAAAAACACGCAAGTCGATCTGACCTGAGGTTCTGTGTCGGGTCCGGTTCTCCAAATGAGAGAGCAGAGCTGCTGCGGCAGCCATCTTTACTCACCCACCACCCAATCGGGTGTGTGCTGTAGGGAGCTGTCGAGTCTTTTCTGTGCTCCAGCGGACACGCCCTGAAAGCCAACTATCCTAAATACGATTTTATTTCCATCTGAGAAGGTTTCACAAACCGAACGCCAACATATTATATAGCAAAATGAATTTACGATTTGCTAGACCTCAAATACGATCTACACTCACCAGCCGCTTTATGAGGTCCACCTTCGCTAGTCCCGGGTTGGACCCCCTTTGGCCTTCATTCTTGGTGGCATAGATTCTACAAGGTGTTGGGAACGTTCCTCAGAGATTTTGGTCCATGTTGACATGATGGCATCACTCAGTTGCTGCAGATTTGTCGGCTGCACATCCTATGATGGGAATCTCCCGTTCCACCACAACCCAAAGGTCCTCTATTGGATGGAGATCTGGTGTGTGGAGGCCGTTGGAGTCCAGTGACCTCATTGTCATGTTGGAGATGATTGGAGCTTTGTAACATGGAGCATTATCCTGCTGGGAGGAGCCATCAGAAGATGGGGAGACTGGAGTCATGGAGGGGTGGACATGGTCAGCAACAATACTCAGGTAGGCCGTGGCATTTATACGATGCTCAATTGGTACTAAGGGGCCCAAAGTGTGCCAAGAAAATCTCCCCCACACACATGACACCACCACCACCAGCCTGAACCATGGATACAAGGCAGGATGGATCCCCCACACCATGACACCACCACCACCAGCCTGAACTGCTGATACAAGGCAGGATGGATCCACCACACCATGACACCACCCCCACCAGCCTGAACCATTGATACAAGGCAGGATGGATCCTCCACACCATGACACCCCCACCACCAGCCTGAACCATTGATACAAGGCAGGATGGATCCACCACGCCATGACACCACCACCCACCAGCCTGAACCATTGATACAAGGCAGGATGGATCCACCCACCACACCATGACACCACCACCAGCCTGAACCATTGATACAAGGCAGGATGGATCCCCCACACCATGACACCACCCCCACCAGCCTGAACCATTGATACAAGGCAGGATGGATCCTCCACACCATGACACCCCCACCACCAGCCTGAACCATTGATACAAGGCAGGATGGATCCACCACGCCATGACACCACCACTACCAGCCTGAACCATTGATACAAGGTAGGATGGATCCACCCACACCATGACACACCACCACCACCAGCCTGAACTGTTGATACAAGGCAGGATGGATCCCCCACACCATGACACACCCCCACCAGCCTGAACCATTGATACAAGGCAGGATGGATCCCCCACCCCATGACACCACCACCACCAGCCTGAACCATGATACAAGGCAGGATGGATCCACCACAAACTTCAATAAAAAAGGTACCTGTCAGGAATACACGAGGCATGCCACACCGCACCGGATACCCCCACCGCGCCACACACAGAGGCTGCAAGGAGTCACAGCCCAGATCCAAGATGGCGGCAGGTACCTTTTTATTAAAGTTTGGTGGTTAGTTCCCCTATGTGGAGAGTCGGCTCCATTCCCAGAGTGGCTGCTTATAAGATATCATCTCTCATAGGGGACGCCGAGGAAGATTTCACCAATTTCACCTCCTACAGATCCCAGACTCCGCCCATAACTGATCTACAGATCCCACACTGCACCCATAACTGATCTACAGATCCCACACTGCACCCATAACTGATCTACAGATCTATACACTCCACCCATAACTGATCTACAGATCCCAAACTCCGACCCATAACTGATCTACAGATCTATACACGTCACCCATAATGATCTACAGATGTCACACTCCGCCCATAACTGATCAACAGATCCCACACTGCACCCATAACTGATCTACAGATCTCAATACACTGCACCCATAACTGATCTACAGATCTACCCACACTCACCCATAACTGATCTACAGATCCCACACTGCACCCATAACTGATCTACAGATCCACACTCGCACCCATACCTGATCTACAGATCCCACACTGCAACCATAACTGATCTACAGATCCCACACTCCACCCATAACTGATCTACAGATCTATACACTCCACCCATAACTGATCTACAGATCTATACACACGTCACCCATAATGATCTACAGATATCACACTCTGCCCATAACTGATCTACAGATCCCTACACTCCACCCATAACTGATCTACAGATCTATACACACTAACCGCCCATAACTGATCTACAGATCTATACACTCAACCATAACTGATCTACAGATCTATACACTCCGCCCATAACTGATCTACAGATCCCCACACTCCGCCCATAACTGATCTACAGATCCCCACACTGTCCCACCCATAAACTGATCTACAGATCCCACACTGCACCCATAACTGATCTACAGATCTATATAATCCACCCATAACTGATCTACAGATCCCACACTGCATCTACATCCCCCACACCCACTCTCTCTGAGTTCTGACAGCCCCGCCCTCCGCTGTGACGTTAAAAATCTTCCCTCTCTCGGCTACAATGTATCGCCGCTCTAATGACGTCACCTTCATCCCCCGCCCCGCCCTCCTGCCGTGTCCCGGAAGCGGATTGGTGTCTGGCCGGAGGGCGGGGCCGTCTGTGGAGGACAATTGGAGCGAAAACTCCGGACTGCGGAGAGCGGAGGGGGCGGAGCATGAGCGCCGGACACGGTGCGGAGGGGCTGTGCATTATATAGAGAGGGGGAGGGGGGTCTGTGCATTATATAGAGGAGGAGGGGGGTCTGTCCATTATATAGAGGGGGGTCTGTCCATTAATAGAGGGAGGGGGGTCTGTGCATTATATATAGAGGAGGAGGGGGGTCTGTCCATTATATAGAGGAGGAGGGGGGTCTGTGCATTATATAGAGGTGGAGGGGGGGTCTGTACATATATATAGAGGGGGGTCTGTCCATTATATAGAGGAAGGGGGGTCTGTACATTATATAGAGGTGGAGGGGGGGTCTGTACATTATATAGAGGTGGAGGGGGGGTCTGTACATTATATAGAGGTGGAGGGGGGTCTGTCTATTTAATATAGAGGAGGGGGGTCTGTACATTATATAGAGGAGGGGGGGGGTCTGTACATATATATAGAGGAGGGGGGTCTGTACATTATATAGAGGGAGGGGGGGGGTCTGTCCATTATATAGAGGGGGGGGGGGTCTGTCCATTATATAGAGGGGAGGGGGTCTGTCCATTATATAGAGGTGGAGGGGGGTCTGTCCATTATATAGAGGTGGAGGGGGGGTCTGTCCATTATATAGAGGAGGAGGGGGGTCTGTCCATTATATAGAGGGGAGGGGGGGTCTGTCCATTATATAGAGGGGGAGGGGGGTCTGTCCATTATATAGAGGGGGGGAGGGGGGGGGTCTGTACATTATATAGAGGGGGAGGGGGTCTGTCTGTACATTATATAGAGGAGGGGGGGTCTGTACATTATATAGAAGAGGAGGGGGGGTCTGTACATTATATAGAGGAGGGGGGTCTGTACATTATATAGAGGAGGGGGGGTCTGTACATTATATAGAGGAGGGGGGGGGTCTGTACATTATATAGAGGGTGCGGGGGGGGGGGTCTGTATATGTGGTCACTGCTCAGACTTGTAGGTAGGGGGTGGTGGGTGTGGTGTGGTTTAGATGGGCGGCGGGTTTGGCGGTGGGCAGTCAGGTGATAATGAGGCGGTTGGTGTTCCAGGGGAGGGCGGGAGTCCGCCATCAGGCGTTGCAGAGAAGTCGAGCCGACATCCCGCCGATCGATGTGGAGGTGCTGAAGGACCTGGAGATCCTGACACAAGATGTCGCCCTGAAGGTGGACCAGATGATGAAGAGTCTGAACAGCACCATCCAGAACGTGAGTCCCGGGGATGGAGATGGTGTATGAGGCCATACCCAGCCCCCCGCTCCCTGACCCCCCCCCCCCCCCCCCCGCTCCCTGACACCCCCCCTCCACTCTCTGACCCCCCCCATTCCCTGACTCCACCCTCCCCACTCTCTGACCCCCCCCCCCATTCCCTGACTCCACTCCACCCTCCCCACTCCCTGACCCCCCCCCCACCACTCTCTGACTCCCCCCTCCCTGACCTCCCTCCACTCTGACCCTCCCACTCCTTGACCCCCCGACTCCACCCTCCCCACTGCGGTCTGACCCGCCATTCCCTGTCCCTGACCCCCTAATTCCACCCTCCCTACTCTCTGACCCCCCCCCCCCCCATCTCCCCCCCCCCCCCCCCCCCCCCATTCCCTGTCCCCCTGACTCCACCCTCCCCACTCCCTGACCCCCCTCCCCCACCTCTCTGACCCCCTGACTCCCCCCTCCCCGACCCCCCCCCCTCCACTCTGACCCTCCCACTCCCTGACCACCCCCCCCTCCACTCTGACCCTCCCACTCCTGACGATCCCCCCACACTCCTTGACCCCCCGACTCCACTCTCCCCCACTCTCTAAACCCCCCCCACTCCCTGACCCCCCTACTCCCTGACCCTCCACACTCCCTAACCCCCCTCCACTCTCTGACCCTCCCACTACCCTGACCTCCCCCCCCTCCCACTCCCTGACTCCCCCTGACTCCCCCCCCTCCCCCACTCTCTGACCCTCAACCGCTCCCTGACTCCACCCTCCCCACTCTCAGACCCCCCCACACTCTCTGACCCTCCCACTCCAAAAGAAACTCCCTGACCCCCCCCCCCCCATCCTCTGACCCTCCCCACTCCCTGACCCCCCCCCCCCCCTACTCTCTGACCCTCCCACTCCCTGACCTCCCCCCCCTTCCCCCCTCCAGTTCACAATTGTCTGACACACCTCAGCCCCAGCCCGCAGACCCTCCTGTGTCTTATGTGCGTCCCTCTGAGGTCATGTGATGTCTCCACAGATGACGGCGCTCAGCGTTGGCTACATCCAGACGTACCGCGACTCAGTGGACAGCCTGGGGAGTCGGTAGATATGAGTATAAAGGTCAGTGACCCCCCGCTGGCAGCAATGGCGGGTTTGGTGATGCCGGTTACCGTTCGGTGACTTCCCCCATCCCAAGAAGTCGATGCCGTCACTCAGTAGTAGTAACACAGTTTCTGAGACCCCTGTAACAAAACAAAAACCTTGTTGTACTCCTTTCATCCTTTGATTTGCAGGTCTTCTCTCAGCAGGGTGACAACGTTGCTGGCTTTGGAGTGAAATCACTGCAGCGTTGTCACCTTGTGGACACATAGTCCACAGACTGGCTTGTAAAGGCTCACTATAGTAGGCAGGGATGTGAGCCGACACCCGTATCCATTGTATTCCGTATAGAAATTCCCTCTTTATTTCACACGCCTCCATTTATATCCCTTTTCCACATTTACATCCGGGCCAAGCTGTCCAAGAACCGTTACACACTGCAGCCGGACAGCTTGGCCCGGATGAGGCGGGGTGACAGTCCACTGTATCGTATTCCTACCTGCTGCGTGGCTTCCAGCTGGAGTTGGGAATTATTTTTGTTTGTCTTTAACTTTACCACACACCCCCCCCCCCCCATCACCTTTTATCAGTCTCCACACCCCCCCCTCCTTCTATCCTTCCTCCACCCCTTCCACCCTTTCAGTCTTCTATCATTCCACCCCTCCAACCCCCCCCTTTAGCCTTTTATCCCCCCTCCAGTCTTCTGTCCCCCCTCCATCCCCCCCCCCCCCCTTCAGTCTTCTATCCTTCCTCCACAGTAGATCATCAGTTTTTTTTAAATACTCAGACCAGCCCATCTGACACCAACAACCATGTCACATTCAAAGTCACTTAAATCCACCCCCCCCCTTCAGTCTTCTTTCCTTCCACCCCCCCTTTCAGCCTTCTATCCTCCCTCCGCCCCCCCTTTCAGTCTTCTATCCTCCCTCCCTCCACACACACCCCCCTTTCAGTCTTCTATCCTTCCTCCTCCCCCCCCTCCCCTTCAGTCTTCTATCCTTCCTCCTCCCCCCCCCCCCCTTCAGTCTTCTATCCTCCCCCCCCCCCCCTTCAGTCTTCTATCCCTCCTCCCCCCCCCCCCCCCCCCTTCAGTCTTCTATCCTCCCCCCCCCCCCCCTTCAGTCTTCTATCCCCCCCCCCCCCCCCCCCCCCCCTTCAGTCTTCTATCCTCCCCCCCCCCCCCCTTCAGTCTTCTATCCTCCCCACCCCCCCCCCCACCCCCCCCCCCCCCCCTTCAGTCTTCTATCCTCCCCCCACCCCCCCCCCTTCAGTCTTCTATCTTCCCTCCCCCCCTTCAGTCTTCTATCTTCCCTCCCCCCCTTCAGTCTTCTATCCTCCCTCCATCCTCCCCCCCCCCCCCCTTCAGTCTTCTATCCTCCCTCCACCCCCCCCCCCCTCCTTCAATCTTCTATCCTTCCTCCAACCCCTCTCCAGTCTTGCACAGGTGTACCGGCTCCTCCCCTTCAGTCTTCTTCCTTCCACCCCCCCTTTCAGCCTTCTTTCCTTCCACCCCCCCTTTCAGCCTTCTATCCTCCCTCCCCCCCCCCTTTCAGTCTTCTATCCTCCCTCCGCCCCCCCTTTCAGTCTTCTATCCTCCCTCCACCCACACAGCCCCTTTCAGTCTTCTATCCTTCCTCCTCCCCCCCCCTCCCCTTCAGTCTTCTATCCTTCCTCCTCCCCACCCCCCTTCAGTCTTCTATCCTTCCTCCACCCCCCCCCCCCTTCAGTCTTCTATCCTTCCTCCCCCTCCCCCCCCCCCCCCCATTCAGTCTTCTATCCTTCCTCCTCCTCCTCCCCCCCCCCCCATTCAGTCTTCTATCCTTTTGTCCTCCCCCCCCCCCTTCAGTCTTCTATCCTTCCTCCTCCCCCCCCCCCCCCCTTCAGTCTTCTATCCTCTCCTCCCCCCCCCCCCCCCTTCAGTCTTCTATCCTTCCTCCTCCCCCCCCCCCCCCCTTCAGTCTTCTATCCTTCCTCCTCCCCCCCCCCCTTCAGTCTTCTATCCTCCTCTCCTCCTCCTCCCCCCCCCCCTTCAGTCTTCTATCCTTCCTCCTCCTCCCCCCCCCCTTCAGTCTTCTATCCTTCCTCCTCCCCCCCCCCCCTTCAGTCTTCTATTCTTCCTCCTCCCCCCCCCCCCTTCAGTCTTCTATCCTTCCTCCTCCCCCCCCCCCCCCTTCAGTCTTCTATCCTTCCTCCTCCCCCCCCCCCCCTTCAGTCTCCTATCCTTCCTCCTCCCCCCCCCCCCCCCCCCCTTCAGTCTCCTATCCTTCCTCCTCCCCCCCCCCCCCCCTTCATCTTGCCCTTCCTCCTCCCCCCCCCCCCCCTTCAGTCTCCTATCCTTCCTCCCCCCCCCCCCCCCCCCTTCAGTCTTCTATCCTTCCTCCCCCCCCCCCCCCCCTTCAGTCTTCTATCTTCCCTCCCCCCCTTCAGTCTTCTATCCTCCTCCCCCCCTCAGTCCCCCCTCCACCCCCCCCCCCCCCCTTCAGTCTTCTATCCTCCCTCCACCCCCCCCCCCCTTCAGTCTTCTATCCTTCCTCCAACCCCTCTCCAGTCTTGCACAGGTGTACCGGCTCCTCCCCTTCAGTCTTGCGCAGGTGCACCGGCTCCTCCCCATCAGTCTTGCGCAGGTGCACCGGCTCCTCCCCATCAGTCTTGCGCAGGTGCACCGGCTCCTCCCCATCAGTCTTGCGCAGGTGCACCGGCTCCTCCCCATCAGTCTTGCGCAGGTGCACCGGCTCCTCCCCTTCAGTCTTGCCCAGGTGCACCGGCTCCTCCCCTTCAGTCTTGCCCAGGTGCACCGGCTCCTCCCCTTCAGTCTTGCCCAGGTGTACCGGCTCCTCCCCTTCAGTCTTGCACAGGTGTATCGGCTCCTCCCCTAGTTCCTCTGATCTCACTGCACACTGGGTGCTTCTCACAATGTGCATTAGAAGCTGCAGCCAGTCAGATAGAGCTCCGCCCCATTTCCTGGCTGGAGGACATCCAGCATCCTCTAGTTCTTTCCTCCCCAGCATGCACCTCTCAGGCCTAGAGGAGTCCCTCCTGATCACTGCATCCGCCATGGTGGGGTCCCCTGTATATAGTCTGGGATTGGTGCAGTACACACTCCGCCCACCAGAGGGGGCAGTTTGATAAGACTCTACCCCCTCCCCCCACATTAACCCTCTCCTCTCCTCCGCAGGGGATGTACACGCTGATGGCGCGCTGCGAAGAACTCGACCGCTCCATGCAACCCATCCACACGCTGGCCAAACAGATCCGAGAGATTAAACGCACCCTGGAAATGTTTGAGACGTTATGTAAATAATTTCCTAATAAAGACTTTTGTTTGTAAATAAACCAATGGACCAATGACGCGTCTGGGCGGAGTCAGCCTATAAAATGGGACTTGCGACAGCAAGGAAGGCCCAATAATGGGTCACGATCCCGCGCCGGCACCGCCCACTGAATGCAACACGTGGTTTAAATTGGACCAGGAGGTGAAACGTGGCGGCCGCACGCCCTTCTTTAGGTGGGCAGTAAAATTGCAGCTCAACCACCTGCTTTGGCTGATCGTGTGTATGGGCCCCTAGGATTCTTCTGTCATCTGATGATCCTGCCAGGAAGAAACTTCCTGTCCCAGGGTGACAACGCTCATTCACTGCACTTTGTCTATGGACCCGTTGTCACCCTAGGACAGGAAGTAGTGGGACTGCAGAACACCCCTCCCCCTACCTCATCTCCATCCCATAGTAGGGACAGTTCTCGGTAGTCCCCAGACTGAGCCAATCAGAGCTGACCGTCATTAGGTCTGCATTGATATATCGACCGAACAGCATTTTGCGGATAGAGGAAAAGTTGCCAATAATGGCCGCCGAAACGCGTGATTTTACCACATTTTGGGTGCGGTTTTCATAAGTCATGTGACTTCGCAGAAACAAAAAGCGCATCAAAATGCAACGTTTTTTTTTGTTTTGTTTTATGGGCTTTCAGTGTATTTCAGGCCTGGTTCACATTTTGTCTGTTTTGCAGTTCGTTTTCCCGTGTGCGTTTTTTACACATTTTTGATGCTTTTTTTTTATTTTTGGCCAACTTGTAACTGGGCAGCTTAAAAACGCATCAAAAACGCAACGTGCAATTTTTCTTTTTTTCTGCATTTTTAGTTCATTTTAGGCCTTTTTCACACCAACATAGTTTGCGTTTTGTCGGTTTTGCATTTTTTTGCACGCACGTTTTTTTGTTGGGCAGATTAAAAACACGAAACGCATCAAAAACTCAACACGTTCATTTTTGCTGCATTTTCAGTGCATTTCACGTCTGCTTTGTCCTTTTTTGCAGTGCGTTTTGCGCGCCCCTGTTTGACGCATTTTGTAGATTTTTTTTTTCTTTTTTGGCCATCTTGTTGCCGGACGGATTAAACACACAACACCTTCATAGTTTGCGTTTTGTCGGTTTTGCGGTTTTTTTGCACGCATGTTTTTTTTAAATTTTGTCGAACTTGTTGGGAAGATTAAAAACGTGAAACGCGTTAAAGCAACACGTTCATTTTTGCTGCGTTTTCAATGCATGTCATGTCTGTTTTGCACCAATGCTTTGTCCCGTTTGCAGTGCGTTTTTGCGCGCGCCTGTTTGACGCGGTTTTTATAATTTTTTTTTTTTTTTTTTTTTACCCATCTTGTTGCTGGATGGATTTAAACACACAACACCTTCATTTTTTGATGCGTTTTTAATGCATTTCATGTCTGTTTTACAGCAATGCAGTTTGCGATTTGTCCATTTTGCAGTGCGTTTTGCGCGCACCTGTTTTTGATGTTTTTAGAATTTTTTTTTTTTTGGCCATCTTGTTGCTGGACGGATTAAAAACACAACACACATGCATTTTTTTTTTCCTGCGTCCTCAATGCACTTCATGTCTTACACCGATGCAGTTTGTGTTTTGTCCATTTTTCAGTGCGTTTTGCCATTTGCGTTTTTGATGCGTTTTGCATTTTTTGTTCCTGGCAGCTGAATGCAGCGATGGTCCTTCAGCTCCGGGTTCACACTGATGCAGAATTCTCGTTTTCTGTGCGAATTCCGCACCGCCGCAGAATCGCCCCCCGTTCATGTGAACCGCCACGGGTGTGTATGTTACCAACACCCCGAAACTGGTCCGCAAAACGCACTGCAATGTGCAGAATCAGATCGAGGTGCGAATACAAGTGCGATCCGATTCTAGTGCTGACCCAAAAAGGGGTCCTGCGTGTTTTTGGTGCAATTAGAGCCGTAGAAAATGTACGACTCGGATGGCACCGCACACAGACCGCATGTGATCTGCAGGGGGGTGCGGTTCCGGTGTGAATCACACGTGATAGGCCGCACCACATGTATGTGAACCCGGGGAGAGATGTCCTGCCTCCTCCAGACACAAAGCTAGGCTGAGCTTACCCTGTACATGCACTGGTCTACCACTAGAGGGGGGCTGTGCCCTTTGCCTAGTTCTACCCCTGAGTTCCTGAATGGTTTCCTGTGACCGCAGGGAATGCTGGGAGAAAGGCTGCACACGGGTGTCAAACTGGCAGCCCTCTAACTACAAGTCCCATGAGGCATTGCCAGATAGAAGCATGACTCCCAAAGGCAGAGGCATGATGGGACTTGTAGTTTTGCAACAACAGCTGGAGGGCCACCAGTGTGACCCCCCCCCCCGGGCTACGAAGAACCTGAACGGAGGAGGCTGGGCTCACAAACGCTGACAGAAGACAAGAACTGGTCACGTTATCTGTGGTCTCTGCAGCCGATCTTTTCCCCATCATGGACTTACCATGCCTTGTTCTGCACTGCGTCTCAGTGTGGAGGTGGCCATCTTGGTAGAGGAGCAGGGCTTTGCTTCCTCTTGTCAGAACTCCCCCCCCCCCTCACTGACTGGAGGGGTAATGATGGAGGTGGAAGCAGCAAAGATCCACAGAATGGATGATGCAGAAGCAGGGAGATTCTTGCACTGCAGCCCCTCAGGTATGGCTTCCTCTCCAGCTAGGAGAACCGTGATCAGAACAATAGTGACAAATCTCTGTGTAAAAGTTTTAGGGCGGGTGTGAACATATCCTGCAAATGCAGATTTCTTTCAGAAATAGAAGAGTTAATAGTTTATTTTTTATCAGTTAAGAAAGTGGAAAGTAAATGAAGAGAAATCCGAATACAAACAATATTTGGGATGAGGTGACCTCCTAGACCCCCAGCTCGCCCCCCCAAGTCCAGTGTTCTTTGGTGAAGATGGCGGCTCAAAAACTTCCGGATGAGCGGCTTGACATCATCGGCCCACCTTACATGTTACATCACAACAGGTGACTTCATCAGGGGCCTCACACACAGTGAAGGAAGTCGGTCGGTAGGTCGTTCTCTGTGCATCTCGGAGAACTAAGCCCAGATCTTCTGTGGATGTCAGACGCCTCCGATCCTTCTGTGTCTTCATGTCACCCCAGACAGACTCCATGATGGCAAGATCAGGGCTCTGTGGGGGCCAAACCATCACTTCCTGGGCCCCTTGTTCTTCTTTATACTGAAGAGAGTTTCTAATGACATTGGCTGGATGTTGGGCGGGGTGGTTGTCCTGCTGCAGAATACATTTGGGGCCAATCACACGCCGGGATGATGGAGAAGTATCTGCCTGGATTTCTCAGCATTGAGGACACCATTGATCCTGACCAAATCTCCAACTCCATTGGCAGAAATGAAGCCCCAAAACGTACAAGGAACCTCCACCATGCTTCACAGTTGGCTGCAAACACTCATTATTGTATTGCTCACCAGCCCTTCAGCAACACCAATTATAACTTTTTTTTAATGGTTGAACTGGATGGACTTTTGTCTTTTTTCAGCCAGACTAACTATGTAACATATTTCACATTTTGACTCATCAGTCCAGAGCACCTGCTGCCATTTTTCTGCACCTCGGCCCCTACGTGTTTCCATATCGTATGTACGGGGTGGGGGGAGGGGCCTGCATTGTATTAAGGTATAAATCTTTTGCCTTTGGACCCACTTTTACCTCTCCGGGTGTTTCCTAAGAACAAATCTTGGCTTTTTGAGTTCACGTCCTGCGTGTGCTAACCAGCATGTGTGCAGAACATACAACACGTGGAAGAGCAGATCTTCACATCTGTGGAGGGATTGTGGATGTAGAACCCTATGAGGGAGGGATCAGTCCCATCTAAAGGAACAACGAGAAAACGAGAACCAAGAAAAGCCGCTCTACTGCCAACCACCCGGGAGATGGGAACCCATCCTGTGCCTTTGGAATGTACAGCCCCAGCCAATCGTTTGACACAAATGATAATTCTCACAAAGTCTGCCCCTTCCGTGTTTTTAGATCTTTTTGTCAGACGTTGCTATGGGATACTGACGTGTAATGACAAGCAAATAAAACAGTACAAATGTGGCGCTAAAGTGTGCAAATGATAAAAAATAAATGAATAATCACCTGACGTGAAGTCTCAGGTATAGTTCATGAGGTGCGGAGTGACAATCGTGGTTCATGACGTGCAGAGTGACAATCGTGGTTCATGAGGTGCAGAGTGACAATCGTGGTTCATGACGTGCAGAGTGACAATCGTGGTTCATGACGTGCAGAGTGACAATCGTGGTTCATGAGGTGCAGAGTGACAATCGTGGTTCATGAGGTGCAGAGTGACAATCGTGGTTCATGAGGTGCAGAGTGACAATCGTGGTTCATGAGGTGCAGAGTGACATTCGTGGTTCATGACGTGCAGAGTGACAATCGTGGTTCATGAGGTGCAGAGTGACAATCGTGGTTCATGAGGTGCAGAGTGACAATCGTCGTGGTTCATGACGTGCAGAGTGACAATCGTGGTTCATGAGGTGCAGAGTGACAGTCGTGGTTCATGAGGTGCAGAGTGACAGTCGTGGTTCAGGAGGTGCAGTGACAATCGTGGTTCATGACGTGCAGAGTGACAATCGTGGTTCATGAGGTGCAGAGTGACAATCGTGGTTCATGAGGTGCAGAGTGACATTCGTGGTTCATGAGGTGCAGAGTGACAATCGTGGTTCATGAGGTGCAGAGTGACAATTCTGGTTCATGAGGTGCAGAGTGACAATCGTGGTTTATGAGGTGCAGAGTGACAATCGTGGTTCATGAGGTGCAGAGTGACAATCGTGGTTCATGAGGTGCAGAGTGACAATCGTGGTTCATGAGGTGCAGAGTGACAATCGTGGTTCATGAGGTGCAGAGTGGCAATCGTGGTTCATGAGGTGCAGAGTGGCAATCGTGGTTCATGAGGTGCAGAGTGGCAATCGTGGTTCATGAGGTGCAGAGTGGCAATCGTGGTTCATGAGGTG